ATTCGAACCCGGGTTAGCCGCGTCGAGGACTAAAGCCTCCCTACATGGGTCGTGTGTGCTAACCACCGCCCAACCTGCGCGCCCTAATATGCCCTCTTTGTCAAAACATAAAAAAAAAACATTTTTATAAATCTATGGGGGACTGATGTATCAATTCCTATCAAAGTTATTTTATAAAGTAAAGTAACTTAAAATCTCAATTTCCTCCTGGAGTATGAATAAATTTAGGCCTAACTGCATTTTGCAATGTATATACACCACTGTTTGACCTGCAACTGATAATGAAACATAAACATAGAAACGGTGTTAGCTAACTGCCAACATCAAGTCCTTTTGTCAAGTGAAATATACAAATGAAACATGAAGGAAGGCAACAATAATACGGACCGTGAGTTTGATTTGTTGGACTTCAGCAGCTGCGACTCTCACAGCATCATGAGACAGATCGCACACCGAACACACAAGGTCCAGATACGTGCTGGCCTGCTCCTGAAGGGCTCTGTAGTGCTTCACCTGTATAAATAACATTGGTAAAAAACTACATAAGTGAGCATAAACTAAATATTGCAATTAAAAGTGAAAGGATGTGGTTCTAGACACCTGCTTCAGAGCTTCCTGTAGCCCCGTCGGTCCCTGATCGTTGAGCTGAACTTCTTCTTGTACTGTTAGGAGCCATGTTTGGCACTGCTGCAGAGTGTCTTGATGACTGACATATTTTTGCAACTCCCGGTCCAGACTTTGGTAGACCTATTGAAACAGAATAATCAGCGTCTTACTAGCTAGATTTGGCAGGAAAAAAATGGTATGTCCAACTTTTTTCTAGTGCAAATATGAATAGTTGAGTTTCTCTGTGACCTACACGCTGGGCGGTGCTGCATATGGCAGAGTAGCTGTCTGTTGTCCCCTGTAGGTGGGCCTGGACTTGTTGACTAATCTTAGCTTGAACTTGAGCTTGATCTGTACAGCCAGCAATCAGATCTTCTCCTTTCTGCTTCAAGCTGGTCAGACGCTCCTCAAAACTAGAAATTTCCTCCATTATGGCCTTAAAACGTTGACACAAATGGAAGAGATCAATTTATAGAAAAGCATCTGATAAGTAATTCCAGGTAACGGTGCTAAAAGCATTAGAACTATAAAAACTGTTTGTGATTTTAGAGTCGATCACCTTATGTCGGGCCAGTTGCTGGGTAGCCATCTCCATGTTTCCGGTTTGCATCGAGTCTGAGGTCACCAGCCTGCTGGACATCTGCAACAACCATTTCTCAGCTTCCTGCAGCTCGCTGTTGTAATCTTCATGTTCTTTGACCCATTCCATCAGGCTCTGCACATGTGTCTGCAACAAAGACGAACCAGAGCTTCATTTTTTATTCAACTAAATGGAGGAAACTGGTCAGAGGTTTACATAAACTCATCATGAGCATTGATATGTGTTGGAGTTTTTTTATTATGCTTGGTTTGTTAAGATTCTTTGCCTTTGGTTTATGTTAGTATCTTCCTGCTTTGTTTTAGATGTTAAAATCTCTCTAGCTCATTTTTTTGAAGTATCCTGTTAGTTTTCAGTTTGCCTCGTTTCCAGCCATCCTCTATTTACAGCTCCTAGCTTTCTCACATGTTTGCTTTTTAATGCCATTTATTCTCTTTGATTCCCTCTGCTTCTGACTGCCCTCTCACCTGCTTTAACTCTTCTCATCAATATCTTCTCTTTCCTGTTCCATCCATTAGCTCTCATCAGTATTTATTCCTGTTAAAATGTTTGGTC